ATGCACGATTAGCAGAATGTACGACTTGTCGACGATACGCTCCGTCTCGTAAACCTTGGTGTGGGGTCCACACTGTGCGAGAATTCACAAAACGCGGGAAGCGAGAGCGGAAGTGTTGCGATGACACATGTATGGGTTCACGAATATGCCAGAAGGAAAGTCCTCAGCACAACCGACAGCACGATTGTCAAAACTGAGCACAACGAGAATGTCATGAAGAGGCTCAAAATCTGGTGGAATCGAGAGGGTCAATATCAGGAATTTCGAGAGCTAGAAATCATGAAACCATCACCAGCGAACAATTCGCTTGCGCGAACAGAAACTGATCGGCCATGAAAACAAAACGAGATCTGGGTATCGCCAGCCGAGGGACATGCTGCATCGTTCGATGCAGCATGTCCGAACTATGAACGCGACCCAAGACGGAGATGGTCGATTCGAGTTCGGAGTTCGAAAGAACTACCTAATTGGGCGGCGCGATGGTCATGCTGACCGTCAATACAGGGAACCGTGTGAAGGAGGACATATTATATGCACGCAATTCGGAAGAGAAGTCAAGCGATGGGTCCGAAGGGAGGGTCCACATTTAAAGAAGCAGCGAAGAGTCATCTACGACAAGACCATCCCAAGACGGGGAAACCGGCAAGAAATCGTATGAAAAATTAATTCCGATGATTTCATGGACACGCCAATGCTACGATGTCATTTGCATACAAAAAAACACCTACGGCCGAAAAAAGAATTGATGAAACGAGTCGCAGGGCGATCAATTTGACCAAAGTTAAGAGCGAGGCCTCAAGACGAATTATGGAACACGATACGCACATCTTGAGAGCGTTGAAAATGGGGAGACCCGGGAACGATGCTTATATCGCATACCGATATAAAGACGTCATTACAACGTCTGGCTCCAAATAGTTCGCAGTTCGTTTCAGGCTGGATACCATTCGAGATGTTTCCATGAGTGGAAAATCATTGAGTGAGATATATCAAGCACTATCAGCACCATCTTGGGAGCATATATCCTTAACCCGCAGCGACGCGCGGCAGAGTACGCGTGCGTATTATCGAAGACGTGGAAAATGAGGAGTAGCGGAATCTAGTGTCGGCGGTGGCAACGGAGGGCTCAGAGAGGCCGAAGATATCAGGCCTGGGATTGAGATCGATTAAGACGAGGATGCCAAGGTCTTCCCTGTAATCTGTGGTCGACAGTCGAGAGCCAGTCGACGATAAGTTGTAGGCGTCAGTACACGACGCATTGCTCCGCGAAGAGCAGCATCTGATGTTAGTCCTCACTTTCATCTGAGACCGTCGGTCCTCAGGGTAATTTTTGAGCCACGCCACGGCTAGGCATGAATCCGGTAGATTCTCCCCGAACAATACGATCAAGCATGATCTCATGGAATGAAGACGTCCGATCGAAGTAAATGCAAGAGTCGGGGAGGTGAGAGTCGCGGCACACAGCTCAGCCCTGCAACTCGGAACAGATGCGATTTCCAACGGATCGCAGAGTCCAAATTCAATCAATCAATCAATCAGTCAATTCCCAGTGCAGATTGCGGGGATGGCGATAGATTGCGATCTGCCTCATTTGCATGCGGGTAAGATGATACCTTTTTGGGATAGAAGCGGAACTTCCCCAGCATCCTCGTACTCCATCACATCACATTTCAGCTATGTAGTGGGCGAGGTCGGTCACTTGAGTGCGAGATATTTATGTGTTGGGTGGATCCGCCTCCAATTCAACCATGTACGCACTTTAATTCTCAGCAGATATCCGAAATACATAGCTAGCATTGCTTCAGCAGGATCTCAGATTGGATGGGCGCTTCACCTCCGCACAAAATGAAGGCCCCAACCCAGCTCTTGACTGATTTAATGATGTCTCACTGCCGTGAATTCCGAGAGATCCCGGATTCTGAGGTTGCATATCATGAAGTCTCGCAGTACGAGACCTGTTTCTGGCTCTCAGCGAGGACCCCTTCCGGCCGTCTCTGGGCATCGGCGCCCCTGAGTGAGACGAGAGAAAGATCGGCACATGGATCATGGTTTTATTGATCCATATTATGTTCCTGCGACACTATAACCCAGGATACCCCTTTTATATCGGGGGCGATTTCTCAGCAGATCGGCCGGGTCTCCTTCTCCCATCGCTCTAGTAGTTCTTTGGTATTTCGCAGCACTTTTAGGTCCAGGAGCTCCTGGACTCCCAATTTCTTCATTGAGTTCCTCTTCATTGAAGTGATGTTGGGTGCATTCCAATAGCACGTGCTGGATAGTCCCCCCCCCCATCCCACACAAACAGCAGTGTGGGTGGATGTTTTGGAACTTACTGCGGTATTTTCGAGTCGGTAGCATCCCTGCTTTCGCTAGTGAGAGTAGGGTACTAGCTCTTCTATTGTTATACGTGCCGACCGCGGTCAGTCCTCGTCTCTTTTTATACATGTTGTATATCTGAAGGCTTGGTTTCCGGGACATCCCTTGTCTCCATACCTTGTCCTGCGTTTCCCGGACGTGTAGTTTCACTCCTTTGTAAAATTTACTTTTAGAAGTGGACGTCCTTCGTTAGTGTATACCACGGGTATCTCCCCGTCGAGGTAATTTCTACGTAGGATCAGACGATTGACTGCCTCAGTGTATGTAACCACAGCGAGGAGCAGTCCGCCCTCACTCTATCTACGGGCGCATGTACACAGTTGCGTGAATCCTTCTCCTCTTTTCCCTCCGACCAACAGATAATTCTCCATCTCACGGTGGCATAACCGATGTCGTCCGATTCTGGAGCGTCGCGTACCCGGTCACGAACTTGTCGACACCGCATCGCTATGAAACCTCGATTCCATACCGTGACCATACGACCCAGGCTCGATGGATGAGCGGCCTGGATAGGACCACTGGCTTGACGAGTCCTGCCGGAGTCTAGTTCTCCGGTTCCAGCGATGCACTGACAAGAGTCACCCGGCTTCGAGGACCGTCAAACTCGCACTTCGTAAGCGAACGGATTGAGCGACGGAGATCAGCAAGTATGTCAGTGACGAGGAGCAATATGTATACCCGACCCGAGGGTGCTATGAGATAATGGAACACTCATCGTACATTGAATTTTGGACTAGGTACTAATCCGTATTGGATGCCGGATGTCTTTCTTCTCCTCGGTCCTCCGAATTCCTGTCCTTTTATGAACGCCTTGAGACTCACTCAGTTAACTTCCTCCTCGAGCATATGAGCGGCGCCATATTACGGTCCACTGACGGAGTGCGGATCTATCGCGAGGCGCACATGGGGCCCCCATAGGTCCTCCTGGAGGGAGCGAGGAAATAGGCTGGAAGATACCGCGGGAACTGCAGCTAGGTACTCGTATGAAAAGCGAAGCCGCCCCTGCACTAAACTGCGAATTTGACGTCACATTGGACATCCAGGATCATCTCTCCGGAGACGAGGTCTGACGACGAGCATTAGTGCAACGCTCATCGCATCGAAGAGGCAAGGGATCGAGAAAGTGACGATCGTTCGCCTCGAGTTCAACCTCGTTCATCGTGGTCCTCACTTGGTCGAGAGTCGAGAGCGAGATGCCGCCAAATAACTCCGCCGCATTCGTCAAAACTGTCGATTCTTTGTTATGCTCGTCGGAATCTCTCTCGTCTCACAATGGCGAAAATCGTTAATTCCTCTCTCGGAGTGATGAGAGGACCGCTCGGCTTCCGGAAGGGCGGCACTCGCGCTCACTCGAGAATGGGGGTTTGCGGACCCTGACGGGGGAGAGGATTCCTAGCCGAAGCTTATAACATTCCGAACATAGTCGGGTTCATTTCACGTTTGGAAGCCAGGCGGAGCACATCGACCCACAGAGCAATGGCCACGAAAGTACTGAGGATCACGAAGCGCACGGCGAAACTCGTGGAAGGGAACTTCGAGCCCAACCATCCGGCTGTTTTCGGCTGCAGCTCGTGCTCCTACACTCATGGTTCTCCCGCGATCGTGCGCTTCCATGAAAGAAGTTCACACAGTAGACCCGGGAGCCCCGCGATTCATCAAGGAGAGGAAGCCATGGAGTCAAGAGCGCCACGTGGATTGACTCAGGCTCTCAAACACGTGTGGAGAAGCTTCTACCACGTGATTTCCCGGACCATCGCGAAGGTACTCGCCCTATGCTCTTCATGAAATTCCATCAACCCCTAGGGAATCGTTCGCCTTCGACGCTCGTTATCAACCACTGTCCGATTAGGCTGTTGAACGGATCGGTCGATTGACTGTCAGAACTTCATAGTATGGACGAAGTTGTATCGCCTCCGATCAGGCACCCTAAATGATGTTCGGAGGAAGACCTCGGGGAAATAAAGACGAGCTGCAGCGATACCAGCTGCCGATATATTGTTTGATTGATTGATTGATTGATTGATTGATTGTGTATTGACCTTCCCTAGCTATGTTCAAATCTCGAACATAGAGAGAGACCCTAATATATAGGGGCGATGGCTCAGCTGGTCGTTGGCGGATGCGGCTTCGCGATTTGTCCGTCGGGATTGTCGATATTCCTCTTTTCCCACTCTTCCAACATTACTTTTGTGTCGAAAATCATCTTCGGGGTGCTTTCTTCGTGTAGGCCCAGTCTTTTCCGTATCATACACTCAGCATCCGGGGGGTCTTCGCATTCGAGGATCACATGCTCCTGGGTCTCCTCTTCTCTCCCGCACCTCAGGCAGGTCGCTCCGATGTTTTTGAAACGAGACCTAAATTTTCTAGTCTGTAAACATCCCGCTCTAGCATTCGCGAGAAGGCGACTGCCTCTCGTATTGTCATAGATGTGCTCGATATTTCCTCGCACCGTTTTATAAGTCCTGTACCGTTCAAGGGTTCTCTTCTCGGACATCCCTTCGACCCAATCTTGGTCAAGTTTGTTTTTGATGGTTTCGTTAACGTATTTTTTGTATACACCGAGACTCACTCTTTAGAGTTGACCTTGGTGTTTCCCGGATGCTCTGACATTCCGAATTTCTTCTTCAACTCGAGACTTTCTCTTTTAGAAGTTTGGTGGGTATACTCGCAATCTTCATCATTGTCTGGATTGCCTTTGGCCACCTCGTCTCGCTCATCTCATTGATTCTAGCCTGATATATTAGCTTACTCTTTGCTTCTCTGGCTTCGAACGTGGACCATCCCAGCTCTCCGTCTATAAATTCTATGGCGGTGTTCGCATTGGGTTCCCCCAGGGCCCATCTTCCAGCCTCCCGTTGTAGGGTTTCGAGTCTCCGCCGCAGTTTCGCGGACATGGTGGTTACCGAGTTGGCATATGTCAATCCAGGTACCGCCGTGCTCTTCCACTGGATCTTAGTCACCTCAAATCTGTTAAATCTCCAGAGTGATTTGGCGTGCATCTGTCGCAGAACTTTTTCTGCTTTCGATTCCCAGACCTTCTCTTGCTCCTCCAGGTAGTTTTTCCCATCACAGAGAGTGATGCCTAAGTACTTGTAGGAGTTGAGAGTAGGTAGCGCCCGGCTTTGGACTTCGAATTCCTTTTCTGAGTCTCTACATGGCGCATATTCTATAATGGCACTCTTGCTAGGATTGAATTGGAGACTCATCTGGTCCCCAAAACTCGATACTACCTCTAGTAATGTGACCATGCCTTTTCGGGTCTGTGAGATCAGTACCAAGTCGTCAGCGAATAATAGTCCACTTATCGAGAGATGTCTTTCTCGCTCAGTGTCGAACAATTTTCCTGGCAATCTGACCTTAAATCCGATTCCTGTTTGCTGTAGCTTCGATTCGAGCTCTGATATGTACAGGATGAATAGGATGGGACTCAACGGGCAACCCTGTCGGAGTCCAAT